GGGCAATTTCTGTCCTTCCCATTTGTCCTCGTCTGAGCCAGCCGTGAAAGGCTGGGAGGCTTGGCTGTTTGCAGTCTTGCCTGTGGAAGTGGCACCTGTGGGCAGGCAGGGGGCATCCCTGCTCCTTGTCTCTGCCTGAAAAGATGAGCTGCTGTAAAGAGATCCACACATTCTATTTCTTCTCAGATTTGCCAAATTGATATAAAAGTAGTATCTCCTTATTGTTTTATGATACATTTTTTATTACTAGTATGACCAAATGCTCCTTTTAAAAGTGATCTAGATGCCAGAGTTCACAGGTAGCCAACATAAATGGAATTTATATAGTCTCTCTCCTTACTATACTTAACTTTTTTTGTGGCAATCGGTGCATTTTTGAAAAATTAGAATACTTATTCCATATGCCAGTAAAACAGAATGCACTGATAGCAGGGCCTAGGGAAGCAGAAGATGTACAAAAGGGACATGTGATCCATGTGAGCGGAGCTAAAGCTTTCTTTGCAATAGATCTTGCACACAAATATAAGGAAATGTACGCAGCTGCTCTGTTCTGGGTATCTCATAGGACGGCTCCACATCTCACTTTTTCTGCCCATCAAATTAGGGCATTGCACTAACTCGCAGACTAATCATTCTGGAAGAGCTTCAGAGGGCCTCCAGCCGGACCTTCCCCTTTTGCAGATGTGCACACCGAGGCCTGACTCTAGGAGAACATGCCGGCAAGGGGCTGCCATGGAATGTCCCAGCAAATTGTTGCCCCTATAACTTCAGCTCTGGGATTTTTGGATTTCCAGCCAATCTGTTCCTTATCATACACGGGGCCAGGTGTGGCCACATACTTAGTGATTTTCCTGCCAGGAGTGATGATACATCATCTAGCCGACCTCAAAACAATTCTACTTCTGAAGCAGAAGTTCCTCTCTTTTTTAAAGTAATCAATAGAATCACGGCATGAGGGATTTCTTAACCATGAGTAAACTTGGGAGGCAGTCCTCCCAGGGCTAATTGAAATGGAAGAGCAGGTAAGAGTTCACTTGGGTTCATTTTTTAGTTTTTAAAATGCCACTCTTTTCCAGCAGAATCAATTTTTAAGCTATTAACCCAGCTCTCACCAGACATTTTTCTTGTGGTTTGGTTTATTCTGGTTGTTACTTAATTCTCCCCAAAGGAAAACACCAGAAGCTCATAGGAATGTGCTCCCGCCCGGGCTGTGGGCACCCCAGAAGGTGGACGAGGGTGGGGCTTTGCAGGGAGAGGGAGGCTTGGAGGTACACAGGCCTGGGCTGGTGCCGGGACTGCCTACGTCTCACTGTGCAAACTTGAGGATGAGGTCTCCTCTATACAAAGGGATAAGGGGAAAAGTTTAAACAGGCTGGCATCACAGCCTCCTGATGGTGCTGGTGGGAGTATAAATTGGTCCACCTTACAGGGAAACAGTCCAGCAATAGAGGAAAATTTAAGATACCCACACCCTTGATCTGCAGTCCGGCTTCTAGGAATATATCTTTCAACACACCATCCTGTGTGTTCCAAGTGTTATATGTCCAAAGATGGTCACTGCAGCATTGCTTGCAATATCCAGATATTTGAAAACAACCTGAATCCATAGGGGATTGGTTGAATAAGTTCTAGTACATCCTTGCAAGAAAATACTCTGTACCTATTAATAAGAGTGAAGCAACTCTGTAAGAAGTGATTTGGAAGGGTCTCCAAGGTGGGCCATTAAGGGGAAAAACTAGATGCAGAACAGTGAGCATATGAATATGCTATTTGTATAAAATAAAAAGGATATGTGTAATCATCTTATGTACTCCCGGAATCTCTTTGGGTGGATATGCTGTAGGAGAGGTCCAACTTTTTTCCTAACCTCTTAGACTCCAACTAGACCAGAGAATTAAGTTGACAGAAGACAGATCAACAGGATAATACAGATTTTACTTTTATACGGGTACACGGGAGGCTTCACAGGAAAATGAAGAACCCAAAAAGTGATTAGGCCTAAGTGCTCAAGTTGAACACAGTGTAGTAATTGTGAAAAATTAACCAAAGTATACAGGGAGGCTGAAGGGAGGTTCGTCCAACCACGTTTATTGGTACATATTTCTCTAGGTCTGATCTGTCTGTCTCAGGTGCTGAGAATGTTCTTTTCCTCCTAATATAGGGAGGGCATTTTTCACCCGGGAGTTTTATCTCCTATTTTCAGGGAAAAAAAGGGTAAACCAGAGTGCCCTTCCTGTACCTGCTGTTTTTTAAGTATCTTTGACTCAAAATAGTCATGACAAAGTGGCATATTTTGGGGTGCCACCTCTGCTATCCTTCAATACAATAAAGTGGTGATGGTGCTTGCCTCTGGGGAAGGCTTTCAGGGAAGCCGGAGGGCTCCACTCAATTGCCTAAATCTCAGAGTAGACGTGTATCCTCAATTGTTCCTATTATTATTGTTATTATTGGTTTTGTAGTTTGTCTGGTTAGCAGTTCTTGTTAATTCTACCTCTTCTGGCTTAGATTCCCTACTTCTCTCCTTCCTCCCACTTGTCTCTGCTGCCATATACCAAGTCATCATTCTTCCAGTGGACCACAGTAATAGCCACATGACTGATCACGTTTCCTCCACCCTTGGCTCTTTCTGATCTACTCTGCACCCAGCAGCCAGTGTCCTCTTTCAGAAATGAACTCTCCCATGGCTTCCTGTTGCAAGGAGCGTACAGTCCAATGGCCTTACCAAGACATCCAACCCCCAACCCCCCACCCCCAGATCTAAGCATGCCTACTTCTCAACTTCATCTCAGCTACTCTGACCTCTTTTCTGCTCCCCAGATCTGCCCTTCCTGCCTCTAGGCTCTGGACTAGATGTTCTTTTCCCCTCAAATGTTCTCTGAGTTTTTCATGGCTGCCCCATTACCATACATCAGGTCTGAGTTTGTCTAAAAGAGCGTCCCCTCTAAGCTTCTCTCTTCCCTGTTGTGATCACCCTAGTTTTTCTCTCTCAGTATATATCACAATTTGTGATAGTTTATTGGTTGACATGCAGGCTTACTATCCATCTTCCCCCCCCTAGATTTTAAGCCCCATGAGGGTGAGGTTCTTGTTTATCTTGTCCATCCCTCCATCTCCGAATCCCAGTTCAGGGCCTGGCACGTAGTAGGTGTTGAGTGCAAACTTTTGAATAGGTGACTGTCTGGATGAATGAACAAAGTTGGAAATAAGTCCATGGTCTGGCTCTGCAGGTGGTTTGAGGGCCAGCTCCACTGACAAGGTGGAGGCAGGAGAGGCCAGGGGAGCCAGCTGCCTGCAGGAAGCTTGGGTTTTAGGTACCAGGACTCTTAGCTAGTCCTCACTTAGGAAAAATAATTCAGAGATGACTGTGGGTAATGCTTGTCTTGGAACAAAAAACCCTTGGCAAATCTTCACTTTCAAGTCTTAACCCTGACTTTGACTTATCCCATTTGATGCATGAGTTGGAGAACTGGTATTCAAGGCCTGCTTTCCAGATTTCATCACTGTGGTCCCAATATTGTTCCCAACAGTGAGTACCAGGACTCTTAGCTAGTCCTCACTTAAGAAAAATAATTCAGAGATGACTGTGGGTAATGCTTGTCTTGGAACAAAAAACCCTTGGCAAATCTTCACTTTCAAGTCTTAACCCTGACTTTGACTTATCCCATTTGATGCACGAGTTGGAGAACTGGTATTCAAGGCCTGCTTTCCAGATTTCATCACTGTGGTCCCAATATTGTTCCCAACAGTGAGTAGGGAGCTTAGCTTCAGTCTCAGGCTCTACCACTTACTAGATGACTGATCTTTGGTGAGACTCTTTTTTTTTTTTTCTCCCCAGTGGTAAAATCTCCCTTGCCTTATTGTAAAGATTATATTGGTTAGTATGTGTAAAACGTTTACAATGCTTATATGTTAGAAAGTAAAACAAACAAACAAAAAAAATCAGTTTCTCTTTTGTGTAACTGGAATTAGCACAGAGTTACCCTGAGAAAATATTGGCCTTGGCCTTACTCTTAGTCCATCTGGGCTCCTGTCATCTAGAATTCATTTATTCCCTCACTTATTCAGGGATTTATTCCGTGTAAAGACCCACTGAGTCCTTACTTCACGCAGAACTCCAGGTCATACCAAGACACAGGTCAGGCTCCCTGGGAATCCAGCTATGGGCCAGAGATGTGCATGCAGGACATTCACTGGGAGTGACAGTCACAGGGTCATGTAGAGGGAGAAGTGTAACTCTGACGAAGTCTCAGCCAAGGCCTCAGTTGTTTCCATGAGAGCTGGAGGTGTGGGGTGGAATTGAGAAACAGGGTGACTCTTCCTACCCTGCAGGGACCAGTTGTCGGGTAGAGACTGCCAAGGAAGGGGGCATGCCCTGTTCCCAGGCACTCTCTTTAGCACAGGTGATTTTGGAAAGCTTCCAGAATTTCCAGCTGCTGAGAGAATGAACCTGCGTCTGAAAGGAGGGATCTGGGTGGAACACATGCCTCCTCTGCATATACCTGGACTAGCCTTGGCCTTGCAGAGACAGCAGGGCCAGTCTTACACTTGTGGTTCTGGATAGACTTGTTCCAGTCCTGGTTCAGCCACTTAGCTGGCCCCCCAACAATCTCCATTGCCTCTGTAACTGAGGGATGCTTGGTACCCTGAAAACCCTCCTCACTATTAACTACAGAATGTTTTGCATGGCTGTGGAGGGGTTTAAAGTGAGAGGAAGATTGTCAATGTGCTCAGTACAGCCATAAATACTCATCCACGTGTCTTTGTGGGGGTGGGGGTGGCCTTGGGTAATTCAAATAACAAAACAGTGTTTTTGGTATAGAAGGGCCACTTAGACTGTGAAGAGCAGGGCAGCTCTCGAGCAGTGGCTCTGTCCCTCTAACAAGGTGCTGCTCTCAAATCCAAAATCTCAGTGGGCGGCTGGTCACTTCTCTCATGCCCTCCATGGGAATGATGCACATGCTTCACATGCACACAGACTGACTGACGCTGTCTCCCTCCAGGTGACACAGAAGTACTCCCTGGTGATCGTGCAGGGCCATCTGGTCTCCGAAGGGGTCCTGCTCTTCGGCCACCAGCACTTCTACATCTGCGAGAACTTCACACTCTCTTCTGTGGGGGATGTCTACTGTACCCGCCATTGCTTATCCAAGTGAGTTCCTGACTTCTAGCAGACTCTTCCCTGAGCCTCGACTTCCTTCTTGGCCACCCCTACTCCCGCCCCTCCCACCTTGGTGTTATTGTGGTCTTCGTTTGGGCCTGAAACTGAGCCATGAGAAAAAGCAGAAGAACCTTAAGACATAGGCATCCATGACTGTGGTTTCCCAAAGTTAAAATCTGGTAACAAGGAAGTAGCTCCTCCTGTTTCATGTGATATGGAATGGACCTCAAGACAAGGGGATCTCGCCTTAGGTTGTTTGGGTGATTGAATCCAGTCCCATCAGCTTACTCATTCAACAGCTTACTGATTGCTCATTCTGTGTGAAACATCAGGCTCTGCCCCTCATGCTGAGTGAGGCACACGAGTGCACTCGGCAGCACAAACAGGTTCTTTTGGAAAGAATTTGGAGCACACTGTTTTCATGGGACAAAATATTTGTCATGGGAGGACTCTTCTGGGCTCATGTTTGATGACATGGGGCTAGTGTGCTGAGGGAGGGCTACTGGAAGACATGGGCTGAGATCTGGGTTTGGAAGGATGGATGAGATTTGGGTAGCAATTTGAAGAGCCATTTTTTTTACACCAACTAATACCAGAGGTCTTTGGCAGGAAATTCAGAGGTTCTTCTTTATAATCAAGTATATTTGTTCTATTTGGGTTCAGGTTGCTCTCATTGATTAATTCTCTTGTGTTTATAAAGTACAGCCACTCAAAATCAAAGTGACTGTGTTCACGTTTTGCTAGGAGTTCACTTGTCAGGTCATATGCTTCCTCTTGATCATCACATTTGAATACATTTGGATGAAGACATCTTGATTTTTCTAGCTAGCGAAGGTTCAAATGAGGACAAGATAACCTCTTAACCCAGTGGCTCTCAAACTAATATCAAGTCACCTTGAGGGCTTGTTAAAACAGACTTCTGGGACCCATCTTCACCTCAGTTTCTAGTTTGGTAGGTTTGCAGTAGGGCCTCAGATTTTAACAAGTTCTCAGCTGATGCTGATGCTACTGGTCTGGGACCGCACTTTGAGAACCGCTGTTATAGACTATCAACAGAAGAACCCAGAGTCTTAACCTGCCAATAACTAAGAATTTTAACACCTGGTTGTCATATCATTTCCAGCCTATGGCAGGAAGCAAGAGTTTAAGGAGTGTGGAAGAATAGTATGTCAGCTCACCCTCCCTTGATTTCGATTTGCTCTAAAATGCTTGGCCTTTTTCTTTCTGCTAATTTCCATCTTTTATTCATACCAAATGTTCACCGATTGCTGTGAGTCTTCTGTGCTTTTCCAAGGCAGGAGGAACATAATTAATACTTGGCACATGCATCCCATCTTATTGCTCATGTTTTATTGATACTAATCAATATGGACAATGGGTCTGCAGACTTGCCTTTCTGAGAGCTGATGAAAGCTTTCTACTCTACCTCTATGTATGGAATGCCCGTGTAATGACTTGTAGAATCCATTGCTTCACTCTCGACCTCTGGTTTAAATCGAGTTAGTGTTAGATAAGATCTTATTGATTAGGTAAATTGTGTTTATGAGGTGCATCTAATCATGATCAAACTGACTCTATCTGCACTTTCAATAGAAGCCCCATTGTCAGGTTGTATGTATTCACTTGACTTGCAATGACGAAGGAGACTTCCCATGTCTGGAGATGTACTTTTCTGGAATGCAAGTAGGAGTGGAGTGAGAACAAATTACTACCCTGGAATATCATTTGGGAATTGCTGAAGTAATTTTAGTCACCAGACCTCAGAGAAGTATTTGTTAATCAGACAGTGCTTTCTATCTGAGGTCTTGTCTGCTGCCCTAAGAAACTGCTAGCACTCATGAAGATGTGGTTCTCAGAGACTGGCTATTAGATCATATCGGATCAATGGGGATTAAGTCTTATTTTGACCACGGAGACTAAGGAAGATACATAAATAAGCCAGTTAAAAATAAAGCTAACGCAACCCTGAAATGTCTCTCTAAAAGACTGCCATCAAATTGAGTATAGTTGAGCACTAGACCTTGAAAGAGGCTCTCTGATGCACCATAAAAATATCCCAGATAAAGTTCAGGAACAGTGCAAATCCTCCAGCATTGATTGCACTTGTGTACTTTGGAACTTTCCTCAGAAAGTAAGAACCTTTCCAGAAGGTTTATTTTGCCTTCAGTGAGATTCCCCTGTTGCCTGAATAGAATGACTATATTTGTTTCCTAAGGCTGTATAACAAAGTACCAAAAACTGGGTGGCTTAAAAAAATAAATTTATTGTCTCCCAGTTCTGGAGGCTAGAAGTCCAAAATCAAGGGCCGTGGTCTCTCCACAGCTCTAGGGGGAGGATCCTTCCTTGCTCCTTCTAGCCTCTTGTGTGTCCCTGTAGCCCTTGGCCTTCCTTGTCTTGCAGATACATCACTCCAGTCATGGCCGCCTTCTCTCTGTGTGCCTTCACAAGATCTTCCCTCTGTGTGTTTGTCTGTGTCTAAATTTCCCCTTTAATTAAGGATGCCAGTCCTATTGGATTAGGGCCAAATACCCTATTTCTAAAAAAAAAAAAAAAAAAAAAGTCACATTCTGAGGTACTGGGGGGTTAGGACTTCAACATATCCCTCTTGGAGCACACTACTCTACCCAAAATAGTGGCAGGCAAGCTCACAAGGTACAGCATTGGATTCATTTTGTGGGCATCCAAGCCATCCAGCTGGTTCTTTGTGATAGGGTGCTTATAATCAGGTATTTTCTCCACATCAGTCAGCCATTCTGAAGCATCATTGCTTTGTTGAATTCGATTCAGCAAATCCTTACCAGAATTCTGTACGGTGCCAGGCACTGGGGTAGACTCCATAAACACAAAGAGGCAAGTCAGATGTGGGCTGAGTCTGGTAAAGAGTTTTTGATATAGTGGTTGATTCCAGGTTAAAATTACAGGTATAAATTCTGACAACAATCAGATAACCTCAGAAATAATTTCAAATATTTTAGTCTGAAATCCCCACTTTGACTCTCAAAGACCAGGTCAACCAAAATGATTATCACTTAGTTTACTGTGGTTTCCCTAGTTAAGAATATTACAAATTATACCATGACCACTCTGGAAAACTTGCGTATGTCATGATAGCTGTCAGGCAAAAGCACTGTGAGTACCATCCTATAAACTGTGACCACAGCGGTACCTAAAGAAGAACATGAATCCGCTCCTCCTTTCTATTCATTGACCTTAGGTGCTTGAATTCTGACTTAATGCACAGTACACAGCGTTGGCCAAGAAACCCAGTCAGAGCCGTGTGTGACTAACACTACATAAGACAGAACTCCAGTTTGGATTACATTAGTGAACTCAATAATGTTTTTTAGAGTTTAGTCTTCCTGAGCATTCGGGTCTGTCTGAGCATTCCTGCCCTATATGGTTATTCAATCCCTCCAAGTAGGAGAAAAATGAGTGCATTTCCTCCTCAAAGCTCCTTCCTAAAAGCATTTTCCAGAGCACTCTTCCTCATGTCTCAGAATGCCAGGTTGCAGCATCAGTCAGCAGAGAGCATGCTGAAAGGAGGGAGCTTGCAGGGAGAGCTCTGTAAAAGCCAGCGAGCCTCTCTGCCTCAGAGGAGAAAAGGTGTTAGTGAATGAGCTTGGATTTTAGAGTCAGAGGACCCAGGTTTGAATCCAGCTCCCCCTGACCTTGGAAAAGTCACTTCTCTTTGGAATGCAGTTTCCTCATTTCTGCTCTGGGAATAATAATGACACACACTCTGTAAGGGTTCATTATGAGGATGAAGTTAAACAGCAGACGTGGTTGGCAGGCTGTAGGGCATGATAGTTGCCAGGCCCCTCAGCAAACATGCCCAGAGCTCCAGGGAAGATGCGGAGGATGGAGAGCCATGCGCGTGGGTCTGTGCCCCAGCGAACTCACTCATAGTCTGCCAGGAGAGGTGTGGCTAAGGTAGAGACGACGTTTACTGTTGTGCCCATAAGCCTGGGGTTACGGGAGCACAGAGGAGGCGTCACTGTCATTTTCATCAGTGCCTCGACCTGCGATGCTGGTTGACCTGAGCTAAGGGTAGGAACCAGAATGACCACCATGGCCCCACTGGGAGTCAGAGAAGTTCAGGGGAAGCTCAGCTTAGCCCCTGACAGAGCGACATAAGCCTTAGCCAGCAGATTTGAATTAAAGCACCGAGGCAGAAGCATCCGGAACCAAAGCCACATTTGTATTTGATCGATCCTATAGCTCTGTGGCTCAGAGCAGGGACCCGAGAGGCTTATTCTAAGAAGGGGCAGGAGGAGCTGTGAAAGGCTGAGTCTATATCCTGGAAGGCTGGCTGTGCTGGAGGCTGAACAACAGGCTCAGGCTGTGTCTCCATGAGCAGCCTGCCCTTCTACCTTCAGGGGCAAAATGTGCATCCTGCACAAGTCCAAGCCCTGAGCACTGCAGATGCTGGGCCACCCCAACTGACCGGTGATTGGACACGTCCTGCTGACCTGTGTGACACACCCATGTCTCTGCTTCCCCTGGGAAGCATGACATGGGGGCCTAAGTGGCCTGCTCTGCAGGCCGGGTGGGGAGGGCCACCCTCGGAGCTGGGGTGGGGAGGAGGCAGAATGCCAGCTTCTCACCCATTCCCGCCACCTTGTGCGGGTGCAGGGGCTCTTCCAACTCTTGGCTCTTTGGATCTGTGGTTGATACACAAACTTCTTGAGGGTTGAGGTGCCGGGGCTGGGGTGGGGGGGGGAGCGCTCCAGTTTGCCAGTCCTTAAAGGGCATTTGGTCAGAGCTTTTGCAGCCATGTACACAATTTAAATTTGCTACATAACTCAGAAGTAAGTCTATAACTGAAATCAGTTTTGTTAAGTCCCCTCTCATTGGTGGTGAAAAGCTTCATCTGGTTCCCTAAAGGTGTTTCTGTTACTCCCAGTGCACAAACTGTCATCTTTGGGATGAATCTGAGTCCAGTTCATGATTCTCCCTTTCTCTCCTCTCCCTCTCTTCCCAAGGGGGGTCACTCTGCCCTCTGAGAGGGCTCCTGGCTCGGGGCCGGTGCTCTGGGGGCCACCGCCAATGCTGTGGCCAGTGTCCTCCAGCGCACTGGCGCTCTCAGCCCGCTGCACACGTCCCTGGGGCTCAGGGGTAGCTGGGCCACCCGAGGCCCCGTGTTGCCGAAGCCACACTGAACACAGGCTTTTCTATGGAGGCTCTTCATCTTTCTGCCCTTGCCTTCTGGCCTGAAATTTCTCGTGTGTATTGGGGTCTTTCACTCTTCCCCACCCCCTTGACCCATGTTTGACCCCTGTACCCAGAGAAGCTTCTTACACTCACACCCTGCACCCTGTGTGCCCTGGAGGCAGTCCCCTCACCTGGTGACACTGGTGCCTCACCCCGTTCCAGGGCAGGGCTGACAGAGGCAGGAGCTCAGGAAGGAGTCAGGGGGTCAGTAGTGTCTCTAGAACCACAGGCAGGGCCGTGGGGCCGGCAGGGGAACGAGCCCTCCACACGCCCTCTCATTGCTTTGTCCTGTCTCCTTTCCAGCATCAGTGATCCATTCATCTTCAACATGTGCAGCAAAGACAGGTCCTCTGACCATTACTCGTGCCAGAGCCACGGCTACAGGGACCTCAGGGAGCTCCGGCAGGCACGCTTCCTGCTACAGGTATATGCCGCGGGGAGGGGGTGCCAGCTTATGGCCCGGGTGGTGCAGGTGCTAGTGAGTCCCCATCGGAATGTGAGGGGCACACTCCGTGACCCCTTCACACCGGTGCACAGCCCAGTGCCCTTCGGGACACATCTGTGAGTGTGAATTGTGTTGGGCCTGCTTTCCTGGTTGGCAGTTGTGACGTCTGCTTCACTCTTCCGCAGTTCCTGCTATTTGGCTGTTGGAACCTTCTCTCTCTCGGTGCGTCATTTAGGATCCAGCCTCTTTGCTTTATTTTCCCCTTGACATGCCCAGAGCGGCCTTGGAGATTCTGGAATATGCGACAGGGCAGCTCCGTTGCCTCATGACAGAGCTGTTGACTGAGAGTCAAGGGTCAGCCTGCCCTGTCCGAGCGTGTGGTCCACCTCTGCCCCTGCCCTTTGCACCGCCCCCCCCACGGCCAAACCCATCTCCAAACTCCCAGGCATTTCCTGGTCCAAGTGGTTTGGAGATCTCCTGATTGTCCCCTCCAACCAGGGTCCCAGGGCTTCAGCCAGTGCCTCCAAGGGCTCACCAGGGGCTAATGGAGCCAATTCCCCTCAGAGGCAGGGCTGTGCCACCAGCAGGCACAACCTGAAGCTTCTCACTTGAGTGGCAAAGAGAGAAGCCCCTGCTGGCCTCAGACACATCTGGCCTCCCCCAGCCCAGCCTTACTAGTAACAAAGCTGCATCTGTGTCCAGAGGCCTCCCCAGCGGCAGGCAGAGGAAGAGATGAGAGACCACCCTTATAGGAGGGGAGGGGCCCCCATCTCTCCTCTACCCTTTCTAGAAGGTCTCTGTTCTGCTAAGGCCAACAGGGGGACAGTGTTTGACCCTAATCAACCTAGTCATAAGAGTGTTTTATTGGTAAATGTCTTTGGGTCTGTAATTCATCATGTGATCCTCCTGCCGGGGAGGGGAGGGGGTCCTTATGATTCTCTGACACTGAAGCTCAGGGGGGCTCATTCTAGAAAGGATCCACAAGCTGCTAAAATCCGACCAGCCCTCTTCCTCCCTGTCCACTGATTTTGCCCACAAAGTGTTAGTTCTCATCTTGCCTGACCTTGGTGTGCTTCTTTGCAAGGAGAGTGATGAGAAGGGGACAGCTGGGAGAAGCCCTGCCCGGAGGGTTCTGGGCAATGTGGCCAGCATGGGCCTCATCCTGACCGTGGCTCTGCCACTGTAGCGACCACACTTTGTGTCTTCCATCATTACATATATAGCATTCGGCACATTTTTTGGCACACTAAGTACTCGAAATTACTATTTTATGATTATGCCTACCTTATAGGTTATAGGTAGCAGCATATAGGTATCAGTAAGTGAGTTTCTTCCCCCTCAGTCCCCCTCAGTAAACAGTGATGATTTCCAGATGTTTGGTTAGCCTGACAGTAGTGGAAGGGAGAAGCAGGAGGGCATGTGAGCATGGCCAAGTAGGGTGGGATTTGGGGGCGGGAAGAGCTTTGTGAGAAAGGTCCCCATTTCTTTTGGGTTCTCCCAGGAGAAAGTCAGATCTTGGCTATTCAAGGTTTCTAGGAGAAGCCATAATGTCTATCTTGATCATCTGTTTTGCACAGTATTTAGATTTCTATCTGTAGAAAAACATGAGGCTCCTATGTGCACCTCCCAGCCAGAGGGGTTTGCTTATCATCACAGATACTTTGCCTCTGCTCAGGAGCCTAGAGAACTGGACTTGGAGAGCTCACTTTCAGCCAGGTGGAAGCAGGACCTGACTATTGTTGGATGCAGCGTCCCCTCTGTGCCTCCATGCCTGGGCCTCACCCCTGCCTCCAGCCCTAGGAATCCTCTCCCTGACCCCATGTCATCCCCGAGCCTCATCTTCCATGCAGACTCTTTCTGTGGCTGTTCCAAGTCTGTTATTTACACAGCTTGGAATAGAAAGAAGGGAGACAGGGAGGGAGAAGAGAAAGGAAAAAGAGAGGAGCGTATGTAGAGTTCATTTAGGCATTAACAAACTACCCTTGCTAGGTCAGCATGGCCACATCAAATTGGCTCTGCAAAATGAGCTGGGCAGAGAGACCTGGGCCTGCAAGTCTGTAGGTCGGCACACAGTGCTGCCCAGATGGCAAGTTGCACCCACGCAACTGGTTCCCCTAATGTTTCTGATAGGGTGACTCTCTGGTTCAGGAAGCCAAACTCGTGACCCAGAAGTGAAAGTGTCTGAAGGTATCACCGGGCCCTTTCCTCCCTCTCTCTGTTCCTGACTTATCCTGGGAGTGGAGCTCTTGCTTCCTGTTTCAGTCAAAGGAAGTCTGAAGCCCCCTGCCCTCCTACCCATTTTGCGGGACTCCCCTTTTCATCGTCACCAAGATCTTCGTACCCCTTGGGGAGGTTGGAAGAACCAACCAGGAAGGGTTGCCTGACACAGAGAACCAAATGACCCATTGCTAGTGGCTCTGTGGCCTGGGGTCTCTCCATTCCAGGCAACTTCAGCAGCAGTGAAAGGGGTTTCTCTTTATAGGACATCGCTCTGGAGCTCTTTTTCCAAAATGGATATTCCAAGTTTCTTGTCTTTCACAACAATGATCGGAATAAGGTCTTCAAAAGGTAAGGGTTTGAAAATCTTCCTCCAAGAGAAATGATCATGAACTGACTGTAAAACAGAGATGGCTCTGCTCTGTTCTCAGGAACACTGTTCTCAACAGTGCTCAAAATCCACAGCAAGCAGGATTTAGGTCAGACATAGGAAGGACTTACTGACCTACAGAGCGATTAAATCATGGAACCAAGTATAGAGAAAGATGCAGAAGTGCCTTCCCTAAATCCTGGGAAATAGGCTCCATTTCACGGACTGAAGTAGTTTAGGACAGTAATGACTGAAGAGGGAAGAACTTATGCAGACACAACACATTTAAGAAGCTGGCTGTTTAATGGACCTTCCAGAATCTTCTGGCTTTGATTTTTAATTTTCCAAATAATTTTTTTGGCTTAATCTTTCTTTTTGATCCCAGTTGCCAATTTTAGTTGTTCCAATTTCATATTTCGCTGGAAAGAATTCCGAACAACTGATTTCCCACTTTTTCATGGAACATCTTTTTTTTCTTAAAGAGAGAAGCCTGCTGTTTTAGTTTAACTTCTTTCTCCAAATAGATGAATCAATCTAAGAAATTTAAGCTAGTGTTTAAGTGTTTTGAGACTAATGGTTATTTTTTTCATCATTATTAAAGTTACAGACAAACAGATTTGTGGAGAATCTAGAAGGGCCAGAAAGGAAAGCCATAGACAGAAAACACAGAAGGCAGATCAACAGAAGGGGTGGTTCGGCTTCACTTTGGGCTGGGAGTTCTGAGGTGATATTTGACTCCCCCATTTTGAGCTCAGAGGTTCTAGCCTTGCCTTCCTGTTGACCCTGGCCAGTAACTGGCACCACGGCCAGCTGCCGGATCCAAAGGGCAGAGCCAGCACGGAGAAAACGACTCCTGCAGAGAGGCTGTTGCACCAGCTCTGGGCACATTTCCATTGTCTGTGGGCTCTTCCAAGGAGGGCTGTTATATGGCCTCCTAAGGATTTCTTCAAGTTCCATTTTAGACCAAACCAAAGAAGTAGACAGGCAATGTGGAACCTCACATCCATTTCTCCTGTGATTTCTGTGTGTTACACACAGTTTTTCACAGTTAATCTAGAAGTTTTATATATCCATAGCTCAGGCAGTGAATGTTGGTTAAACCATACCCAACCCTGCTTCAAGGAGCCTTAAATGGCATTTTCAGTGGTTGCTGAAAGTGGCAATGGAATTGTCAAGTGCCTGGCCCATCCTGCCAACATGCGTCATTTTTATTGTAATGATTGTTTTATTATTGTCATTTTTATTAATGCTAGAGTGTATAATGCCAGGGGGTGCTGAGGGTGTGTCGCAGAGGTATACCCGGGTCTGGTGTTCATGATCTGGGGGACAGGATGGGTGCGGGAGGGGCAAGTCTGTACCCTACCTCTTGACTGGCACCAAAAATGTCTCCCTGGTGGTGGAAGAGTCTTGACTCTGCTGCTGGAATGATTCTTTCCTTTTTTGTTTAGCTTCTGCTCTTTCCAACCCAGCTTGAAGGGGAAAGGCATCACAGAGGACCCCCTCACTCTAAGGTAATGGCACAGGCAGGTGTCAAGCCGTGCTCTCTGGACATGGTACTGGCCTTGCCTTGATTGTTTTCATTTGTTTGATCCTATGGTCGAGAAGTTATGCAAAAAGCACATCTATGTACCTTCCCCTTCATTTTGCTCTCTCCCATTCTCATACTCTTGTCCTCCTCCTGGGGTTTCTTCTGCCAATTAAACCTCTACAAAGGGACTTGAAATGCCATGAGCTCTGTGGCTTTTTCAGACCAAAATGCAAGAATCAGCCCTCTGCCCATGGTGGGCGGGGCAGGTTGCCTGGTGTGGTGTCAGTGCAGGCCCAGCCAGCCTTGGTGTCAGACCCCCCACATGGGGGCTGTGAGCAATCCCAGCTCTGTCCTTCCTAGAGGGGACTCTCCGAAAGCTGAGAGGCTCAGTTAGCAGAGGGTGGAAAGTGAGTCAGATATGAACTTATGAAGCTGGGATATGGAGTACCTTGCCAGGGAATGAAATACTTAACAGCCTCCTTCCACGGCCTCCCTTTACAAGTACCCAGTTCTCTGGAAGGCTCATTCAGGATTGGTAAGTGCTTTTATTTCAATTAAGAATGAAATGAGAAGAAGAAACAGTTGCTGGTTTTTCTCTAGGAGTTTATGTCGAGAGGGATGTCCCCAGCAGATTCAAAGTATTTATAATAAAAAATATATATTTATAATGACTGTGGAACAGGTACTGCCAAGTCATTCACAGTAATTTATCGATAGCTTGTTACATGTGGTGGTTGCTGCTTGACAGAGCAATAAGCAAAGCACCCAACATCTTCCCTGTCCTTATTGAGTTTACATTTTCTTGAGGCAAGTAGAAGGAAGCAATTTCAATGAGTGAAATACAAAGCATATTAGATAATAAGTATAAGTATAAAAAACAAAGTAGGTAGAGGCAGGAATTGAAATCTTAGGGTGGTAAGGGAAGCCCTCACCAAGAAAGCAATATCTGGATTCAGCTGTGAACAAAGTGGGGAAAGGAGCTATGTGGGTAACCAGGGAAAGAGCCTTTCAGGCCAAGGGAAGAGCAAACCAAAGGCCATGGGGGGAGAGGGGGAGCACAGTGGGCTCAGCTGAAGCCAGAGTGCTTGGAGTGCAGGGAAGAGAGGGGAGAGAGGTAGCAGGGGCTAGTTCATGCGAACCTCGGGGGCTTCTGGTAATGGCGTTGGCTTTTACTCTGAATATGTGGGCAGTATTGGAGGAATGCTGTGACCTAACTTATATTTTAAAAGAATCACTCTGGCTTCTGTGTCAAGAATAAGCACAGTAGGTCAAAGACAGAAGTGGGAAACCAGTTAGGAGGCTTTGGCAGTAATGCAGCTGAGATTTGGCTGACGGCTTGGATCGAGGTGGGGGGGCACAAAGGTGGTATGAAGTGCTCTCTTTATGGACACGTTTTGAAGCCATGTCTGCTGTGATCTGTTGATAAATCAAGTGTGGTGTGGTGTGTGTATGAGAGAGAGAGAGAGAGAGAGGACTTCAAGATAAGACTAAGGATTTAGGCTTGAGCAGTTGGAAAATGGATTGGGAAGACTGCAGGAAAAACTACTTCGGAATATGGTGGATAACAGGAGCTCAGTTTGGGACATGTTAATTTTGAGATGCCTGCCAGACATCAAGGTGGAGGTGTCATGTAGGCCAGTGGGTACATAAATTTAGAGTTTAAGGGAAAGGTCCAGGTGAGATGGAAACTTGGAATAGTATTTAAAGCCTTGAGCCTGGTTAAGATCACCAAGAGAATGAGTCCACATGGAAAAGAGGTCTAAGGATTGTGCCTTGGGCTCTGCCAACCTTTAGAAGTTAAGGACACGGAGAGGAGCCAGCCAAAGAAATGGAGAAGTTGTAGCCAGGAAGATAGGAGGGACTGCAGGTGTGGAAGATGTCCTTTAAGCCAAGTAAAGTGTTCAAGGAGGCAGTAGTCAACTGTGTTGGTGATCTAATGTTATTGGTAGGCCAAGCAAGAGAAAAACTAAGAAATGACCATTGAATTTTGCAACAGGGGGGTTATTGATGACCTTCAAAAGATCAGTTGGAGTAGCTGCCAGCAGAAGCGTCCTGTTGTGCCAGACAATAACCCTTTAGTTTGTAGACTGTGGGGAAGTCCAGGGCATAACAGGGGATGTCCCAGGAGGCCCAGGCAGCACTAGGCCACTAGAAGAGGGGTAACTGTTTTCGAACCAGAATGGGCATATTTCAGTAGTTCAGCAATGGTACAGTCCCAGTTGTGCGTATCAGCCCTGGTGATCTCATGTTATGTTTCATGTAAAGTTTAATGTCCCCACTTGGATTTCTCTGCAACATTTCACTGCAAGTATGTAAAGCCACTTCAAACTAAACGAAGCCAGAAAGCAGATCCATCACCTCATATACCTGAAGACCAACAGAGGTCTGGCTCCAAGCATGGCTGGATCTCTGGGCTCAGTAAGGCCCAGCACACTGTAGGTGTGCACCCCATAGTGAGGATTTCCTTTGAGTTGACTCTGTACTTGGCAGGCTGTCCAAGCACAATGCCATCAATGTCCCCAGTAGCTCCAGTCAATAACTTAGGAATTCCACCACATGAGGAATGCTCTGTCCCATTAATTTTAGCAAAAATCCCAAAAATGATATTCATTTGCTGAAGTTAGGTTAGTGCCCATCCCAGAACTAATCAAGTGTTTTCATAGGCCAGATCAGTGTCCTGTGCCCACCCACCTTCTGGAAGTAGGATCAGTCCCACCAACAACATAGACCAGACTGACAGGGCTATGGTTCCCTAAGATCATCAAGGCTCTGTTATCACAAGAAGGGTGAATACTGAGGGACCAGCAAAAGCAGATGGCCATCCCTTGCTCCATGTGGAGAGCTTCCCCAGGCACCACAGCACTCATGAGCTGGACACTCATTTTCTCTCCTTCTGGAATTTTTCTCTCTTTGCATCAACTTTGACACACCACTTCGCTGAACCCCATTTGTCTCTGAAGATCACCCTCTTTCTTATAAATGATGCCTGTGATATCACTCAGTGGGCATCCATCTGTCCCACAGCTGTGAACCTCACTCTGTCCATTCCTATACTGTTGCTCTCAGAGTCTTAGAGATGCCTTGCCCTGACAATACATACTTATGTCTGCACAGGTAAGCTTCTCTTCTAAATTTCTGCCCCAGATGGAGGGGAAGCAGACAAAGGAGAAGCAGAGGGAAGAATACATAAGAGGAGATAAACCGTGGCTACAGCCACTAAGTTGGGGATCTGTACAAAAATGACCACCAAGTGTCAGGAGAATTCTTGGCCTGGGGATGAGTCACAGGTGTGGAAATTACTCCTCACTCATTTATAGGGATGACCCTAGACACCAACCTGTGTACCACCTTGCACCTGTGGGACAACTGGGCACTGTGCTAATTTTATTTCCATTTTGTTTATTTTTTCCCTGATGGCTACCTGGGCCCATAGGAGCAGAATCTTGCATGGTCATTCTGCGCCTGCTGGCACAGCCCCAGCATAGCTCCAAGCATGGAGGGCCTTGGGATATATAAAATGGGAAAGTTCTGGAGTCAATTGGGAATAATGCATAATGCACCAGAGAAAGGCTTATCTAAGCTTGTGGAAGGTGAGCTTTGATGAAATGGGGAAGCCCCAGTGGGAGGACTGGTCCTAGACTCTGGGACCACCCAAACAGCCAGGGACCTGGTGAGACTGTGTTGCAACAGCCAGCAGTGGGCTTTGAGATCAAACCGATTTGGGCTCATAGTAGTGGCTCAATAAATACTGTAATTCCTTCACTTAGTTTTAGTAATAATGCTGTATTTGTAGGCGTGTATATGGAACAATTGATTAAAAACAGGTGGCTGTCTGTGCTCTCAGACCTTGTGCATCTTTCTCTCTAGCTCTTCTCCCACCAGCCACACTGGACCTTCAGGAGTTTCAGAGAGGGAAGGCAACAGTGGTCCCCAGCCTTCAGAGGGCTTGGCTGGCCATTGCCCCATGCCTAGAGCAAACCTGACTATTTTCCATTTGGATAACTAAGGGAAATGTCCAATCCACACAATGAGTCTTGAAAAATACCCCTCTTCTTTTCGGACATTCTAGGAAACATGAGCTTCTCATCTCTGATAGAAGTGTGCAGTTCATTCTGAGAGTTTTAAACTAGCCCGTGGCTATAGGTTGGCCTGTGCTATAGGTTTTTGTATCTTCAACTCCCAGCTTTTGAGAACTGATCTGGCCCCTCTACAGGCCATTCCCTACATACTGGAAACCTGAGCTTCTGGGTACCAGAGTTTTGCCTAGAATTCCCATGGAGACAATGGCTGTCTCCATAACTGAATTCCAGGAAGGTTCTGTGGGTCTGGATCCGAAGTGGGAAGTACTTGCAAAGCCTGGATGAACCTGGGATCTGTAATCCATCCGTGTCTCCCCATTGGTACAAGACTAGAACATTCTGATGAAAGCATGGTGGCATCATCAGACATTCATGGTGTACAAGATTGTGCAAGCCTCCAGGGGCTTCTCACAGAAAGCCAGCTAGATACTTCGCCGGCTAAGTGTCTGGCAGCCAGAAAGCCCCACAGGCAGGCTCTGCTGAGATCCGAGGAGGACTAGTCGGAGGAATAGAAAGAACGGCTGAAGTGACGGGGAAGGCCAGCTGGTGAGCAGGCCCGTGTAAATAAACACATCCTTATACTCACAGTTCTCTGTACCCTCCACCAAGGGTTGCAAACTGCTACGAAATTAAATGCAGGTACAACGATCATTTTAAAATGACCCCAAAATTCCTTTAAAGGAGAAAAAAATAGATGTGATCAGGTACCTGGAGTGATCTAGTTACCTAATTGTCCTGAAACTAAGAAAAAAAAAATACATTTGTTCCGGGTTATATCATTTTCCAGTGACAGAAAACAAGACAGAGGGGGTTTTGTGAACTTTTTTTTTTCCCTGGAAAATACTTTCTCTTGGCACTGAATATCAAATTTGTCCTTGTCCAAAGGGTAGTGGGTACCAAAGAA